GAGTTAAAATGTTTTTAAATCACTGAGGTGATAAATGTCTACTTACCTTTATTGTTATGCGTTCAATAATGTCATTTTTAAACGTCAAAATTGGATAAAAAAATATATCGAATCATATGATATATCGATACATTCGATATATCGAATGAAAGACATCGATATTTTTAATATATCGACATATAGGTATTTTATTTTTCAATTTTTTTTCTACGAGCGTGCGAAAAGTGCTGTTTTCTGCACGTGTTTTAGATCATGAAAGTACCACTAGTCTAGAAAAATGCTAGGTCCCCTGGTACTTTCATGTCCTAAAATGCGTGCGAAAAAGTACTTCTCCTACGACTGCTCTGGAAAACTAATAAAAACGCACTACTGACTTACCTAGAAAATCGATTATTTCGCACATCGTGCGAAAAGTATTTTTCACACGCTTCGAACGTGCGAAAATAAAAATGACATTTCCATTGAGTTCGTTAATTAAAACCTTAAATAATAGTTTTTCAACAAAAAAAATAAATAGATAAATCTCAATGTGAATATAGTTATAGTTATTTCGCACTCATCGAAAAAGTATAGTACACTGGCCTGCGGCTCGTGCCAGCAAACTTCCCCATGCGTGTGAAAAGTGCTATTGCACTTGTACAATATACTATTTCCTACAGCCGTGCGGAAAAATCGATTTTCCGCACTGATATGCGTGCGGAAAATGAGTTTTCCCGCACGGTGCGGTAAAACTTTTTTTTTTGACATATCAGTGCGGAAATAGTTATTTACCTAACAAATGCGGAAAGTGATACTTTACCGCACGCAACGGCAGTTGACCGAACGACGCGAAGCGGAGTTCGGTCAAGCCGTTAAGGGCGGTAAAGGCACTTTCCGCATGTGTTAGGTACAAAATTTTACCTATGAGCATCTACATCTCCAAAAAAAGGCATTGATAAAATTAAATAATGAATCAGATTAATTAATGAAATAAGATTTAATTTAGAAATGATCAAAAATCCATTTTCTGAAAAAGTAAGGAATTTTGATTATAAATATCAAATTCTACTTAACCGCACACTATGCGGTAAAGTGCACTTTACCGCACACTTTGTAGTCCACTTTACCGCATACTATGCTGTAAAGTTAATTTTACCGCACACTATGCTGTAAAGTTAACTTTACCGCATAGTGTGCGGTAAAGTGATACTTTCCATTTTCAAATACGTGCGGTAAAGTGCACTTACTTTTCCGCACTCAGTGCGGATACGGGCCTTATCCGCACTGAGTGCCGAAAAGTAAAAATAATTGTCAAACAACAATAAGTGCACCCGTTGACTTTGACACATGATGACAAATTTTTCCTCTATTTCTATATCAGCCAACATCTATACAAACACTAAATATAATTATTATCTCGTCAGATTTGTGTTCTCCATTTACATGCAAGAATCTACAAACTTCTTTCGCATCAAATTTAAACACTTCAAGATGAACAGCTCTGACGAGGATTTCAATTTTCTGTTTTTTTTTTGTTATGTAATTCTTTGATGAATGAATAGGTTGGCTTCAAGTTAATTGAAAATAACTGAACAAATTATCGTTTTTTTTTTTAAAATTTTTGTTACCTACCTGATATGAAGCTCGTAGGAAGAATTTTGTTCCTAACACAAGCGCAAAGTGTCTTTTCCGCACGCAAACAGTTATCCGAACTCCGCTTCGCGTCGTTCGTATAACTGTGTTCGCGTGCGGAAAAGTAACACTTTGCGCACTTGTTAGGAAAATAACTATTTCGCACGGCTGTCAGTGCGGAAAAAATTTTACCGCACTGATATGTCAAAAAAAAAAAAAATTACATTTTTTCGCCTGTAGGAAAAATATTGTACCTAACACTTGCGGAAAAATTCATTTTCCGCACTTGTTAGGTAAATAGCTATTTCCGCACGTTCGTAGAAAAATAGCGTTCCCAAGTTCCCAGCTCGTGCGGGAAAGTCTATTTTTCGGATAAACGCCCTTCATTTTCCTATCAGGCACACGCCCTAGCTGAAGTTTGTTTCATTTCAGCCGCCAATACTATCAACTACTCTCAGACTGGACTGTCAACCAATGAACTATCCGCACGAGTGCATAAAAAAAGATTATATCGATATTTTTTCCATATATCGAATGAAAAATATCGATTAAAATATATCGATATATTTGAATTATATAACGATATTCACAAAACATCGATATATCGTTGCCATTCCTACCGAAGTCGGAACCTGAAGTCCTGCAAATTATCTCCTCCTTTTTTTGCCTGGAATGCTTTGGTATCCTCCTGAAAAATTTTAATTACATATAATAGTTTCACTTTAATTATATTCACACAGTGAATTAATATCGGAATTTCCAAGCACATGGCACGTGTTTTGAAAGTTCGTTCAAGTTTATTTGCTTCGCGTGCTATAGAATGCCTACATAAGTACCTAACTAGTACAGCCTGAATTCAATGGTTATTTTTCTATAGTGAACAATCATGAACCGCCGACTAAAGGTGGGTTTATACAGCACATAACATAACATAAGAAATAAGATAAAATAAGACATAACATAATATAAGAAATAAGAATTTTGTGGCGTTTCTACAGAAAATAACATAACATAAGAAATAATTTCTAACCAATCAGCTGGTACTTGTACTCATATAAACTCCAATGAAAACAGTATATTTGATGAAAAAATTTATTAATTAATAATTCAGTAGGAACACAAAAATAAATAACGAATCCAAGAAATTACCAAAAGCCGAAACCAAAATCAAAATAATTTTGTTTTATTTGGAATGTTTTGTTTACTATTCCGCCATATGTCGACATCGAGGGATGAGCATGCGCAGATCCGTTTTCACATAAAATAAGACATAAAAGTTAAAAGTTAACCAACTTTCTTATTTCTTATGTTATGTTATGTTATGTTATTTTCTGTATAAACGCCATTAGGGGTTTCCATAAGGTCAACTTTTTATCTTATGTTATGTTATTTCTTATGTTATGTTATGTGGCTGTATAAACCCACCTTAAGTTTTGGTTCTATGCGAAACAGGGAGCTACCCATCAAGAAACTAGTGAAAAATTCCTTGTAAGCCAACGTAGTATTTCTGAATTATTGAAAAAAAAAAGGGCTCATAAGTGACATTGTACAATAGTACCTACTAGAGAAGGTACAAAGGCGTTTGTTTATAGTGAATTAGCTGTGGTCAATAGTGAACTAGCTAAGTGGTACACGAAAAATAAAAGGCAATTGAAAAACTTTAAAGGCATTACTCAAACAAGTTTAAAAAGACGATTAACACAAATTTTGAGTAAGTGTAAAATTGAAAGTTTTAAATTTTTTAGTAAGTATGGATGAGTGCGCTTATACAAAAAATAATGTCACTTTAATACCGAAGAAACCAAAGTTGTTTTGCATATAAACAACAAAATGAAAAGCAAAAAGTGTCTAAAGAAAACAAAAATGTCGGTCGTAAAATTGAAAAGCCAGGAAACTGATATAAATCAGAAAAATCTGTCGACAATTTCAAGAGAACAACTCAAGGAACCACCCATTGACAGAACTACTAAAGTAGCAATAAAGCATAATAATGAAATAACAAAAAAGACCAATAAACAAAATAAAGATGTCTTCTTAAAACAAGCATTAGGAGAACTTGGTATAGTTCTCCAACCAAATAATATTAGTGAGTTCATTGTCGAAAATCATACATACTAAAAATAGCTGCAATAAATTAGAGGAAACAAGAAAAAAACAAATTAAAACCACCAATAAATCTGCTGAAACCAAACGTAAAAAAATGAAACCAAAAAACGAAATTACCAGCAAACCAACTAAAAATCATAATGCTAGTCAACAGCTAGAAGAAGGTTCTGAACATCCTGAGCCATCAACAAATAACGTCATTCGAGATCTTGATGTCAGTTGTTTGGAAAGTGAGGAGGATGTGTTTAAAAATTTAAAGATTCAAGTATTAGCTAACGGATATGTAGGTGAAAGTTATGAGAAAGATGATGGAGACAAAACTAATAATGAATTTGAAGATGATAATGATGTCACATTTGATGGTGTAGAGTTTGAAGTCGATGCAAAATTTGATGGGGAAGATATTGATGATGGATTTGAAGATGCCGTTGATGTAAGATTTTATGGTTTGGGTTGAAATTTTCAGTTCGTTTCTCGGAGTGATTATTATGTACAGGGTGTCCCATTTTGGTTGTACATGAGGGAGGAATAAGTCGGTTGCTATTGGAGTTAAAAAGATACGGCTTTCGCGAACGTTGACTACTTCTTTATCAAACGAAAGATGACGTCAACAGAATTGCCACCGCTCTTTTTTTTTCAGATACAAGATTTTTGAAATTGGTGCATTTTGGGACACTCCTTGTATCTCGGCTCTCTCATAAGTGATCGGAAATGAGCCAACGAGTTCTTATAGATCTTTCTACGTAGATTCCAGTGACTAAGTAGTTTTTTTTTCTAGAAGTTATGGTTTCTAAATTATAAACAAAAGATACATTTTTTTGAAATGAGACCCTGTATAATAATGACTCATTGGATAGCTCCGCTTTTGCTGATTTCATAATGATATAAAGTTCAATAGGTTTATCTCTAACATGTATTGAGAAAAAAAATATATCTGTTTTTTTAATAAGAAATATTGTGTTAGAAAAGGACTCTATATCTGTAGCGAAAATGAAGGAAGTCTTATAACTAAAAAATTACTGATTTTTTTTTCTCGAAAACTGTTAGAGATAAATCTATCGAACTTCATAATATGCCACTGGAATCTACGAAGAAAGATCTGTGAGCATCTATCGTTTGACAAAAAAGTAGGCAAAGCAACCAAGTTATCCCTGTTCTACAAAAACCAAAATGGGTGTTCCAACAGGAACTGAACAGGGGCATTATTTTGACCTTCCCCGTATTTTTGAAAAAAATTAAAATAGCCAATTTCCAGTGGACTCAAAGTTACCTTTTTTTTTCAGGGTCAATCGTCACAAGGTCAAACGATGCCGCCGCCTAATCAAATTCCCCAGCCGCCCAACAGTATGCAAAGCGGCTACAGACCTCCCATGGCGCCTGGCAATAGACCTCCAAACCCTAGGGGCGGTCAACCGGGCGGGATGCGGATGCCTGGCGGAAATCAGAGGCCGCTCATGAACCAACGAGCGCCTAACATGAGACCTCGGGCTCCAATGGTTAGACCCAGAGGCGCAGGAGGTAATAATATCTTTTTATTGCTGTATGTTTACATTTATTAGAGCCAATCAGATTGTCAAAAAGCTGTTTCCAAATAGTTTATGAACGCCCAAAGAGAAATAAGAGAATCTGATACGTTCTATTTTTTTCGGAACTATTATTTAATCAGATTTTTTCATCAGCTCTTCCTCCAATGAGAGGTCAAATGCGACCCCGCATGGGCACTCCACAGAACGGAATCAGACCTGGCCAGAAACCTTTACCTAAACGAAATACAGATCAGAACGCTGCGGGTTTGCAGACGAAACGCAAGAGACTCGAAGTTCTCCCTAATGATGATGATGACGATTGCCAAGTAATTTTCACGCAGCCCAAAAACACTGGATTACAAATAGAACATATTCAAGTAAGACAATACTTTTTTATCTTATAATTTGAAATTATTTTATACCTTTCAATTAATTTAGGGAGCTTCTGAAGCAGTGGATAATGCCATAATGAAACTGCCTGATTCCATAACTTTGTCGGTGAGGCCTCCGGCACCAAAATCTGCATCAAGTCCTCAGAAATCTGAAGCTAAAGCGGTGGCGAACGTTTTGGCCAGCCGAGGGATCACAGTAACGCCTTCAGCTAAGCCGAAAGAGGCGCCCAAACAGGCTTCTCCCACTGCAATGAGTTTGAATGGGGCTGTCAGTATTGTGCCTCCATCTAAGGGTGGTGCTAAGGTAAGGAATTTATTTATTTATTTATTTAACGGAATATCCATTACATACATGGTAGGCATTTACAATATTAATTCCAGTACTAACAGAAATACAAAATACAATTAATACAATAAGTAGTACTCCTAAACCATGACCCAGATAAGCGCACCACAACAGTTTATGTGCGAACAGTACATCTAAATTAGACCTCCTAGTCTCCAATGACTGAATCTTAAATAACATCTCCAATTCACTGAAGTCTACTTGGTCACAAGGGATTTTTAATTTGAACGCAATATAACGCAAAAACCTTCTCTGAATCGACTCTAAATTTGAAATATATTTTTGAAAAAATGGGTACCAAATGAACCTACAGTATTCCAAGTGGGACCTAACTAGGCTAAAATACAATATTGTCAAGGCATTCAAATAGTAAAGTCCTGTGTATTTCTAAAAATGAAGCCTAGCATTCGCAATGCCTTGCTCCTACAAAAATTTAAATGGTCAGCAAAACTGAGTCTAAAATCAAAAACAATTCCGAGATCCTTCACTGTCTCAACCTTCTCGAGCTGAGTCAAGCTCAAATAATAGTTGTTCGACGCCACAATAACAGCTTTAGTAAAATGAATATATTTACACTTATCTACATTAAGAAACAATCTATTTTTGTCACACCATGCATGAAAAGTGTCCAAGTCTTTTTGGATTTTAACTGTATCCTTATTTGATTCAATCATTGAAAAAATTTTCAGATCATCTGCGAACATTAAAAATTGACAGAACTCAAAGCAAGATGAAATATCATTAATAAGAATGTTGAACAAAAGTGGAGCCATGTGAGCCTCTTGGGGAACTCCAGAGGTAACCTTGATTGGAAGTGAACAATAATTATTAATTTTAACTATTTGTGTACTTTGACTCAAGTAAGATTCAATCCATTTAAGTAAGGTGCCATGAACACCTACAACATAAAATTTCTGACTAAGTAAAATATGATTGACTTTGTCAAATGCCTTCGAGAAATCTGTGTAGATTGAATCCACATTAAATCTATTCTCCAAGGCATTAACAATGTAATCATGGTAGATCAAAAGGTTAGTAGTAGTTGACCGACCAGTGTGAAATCCATGTTGATTTGGGATTATAACTCGTTCTAGATTATCTTTTAAATACACGGTAACTATTGATTCAAACAACTTTGGTATCAGTGATAGCCTCGTTATTGGACGATAGTTTTCAACCTCATCCTTCGAACCTGAGCCCTTGAAAATAGGTGTTACATAAGACAACTTCCATGCATGAGGAAACACGCACCCTCAGCCAAAGAGGACCCGAACAACAGCCAGAGAGGTCTAGACAAAGAAAAAGCACAATTCCGCAAAAATATTGGAGATATTCCATCAGGTCCAGGACCTTTATGGGGATCTAATAATTCCAACCCACTGAGAACATCTGAAATCTTAATTTTATATGAGCTAAGGGTAATATTTGAGATTCCTGGATCAGAATGTACAGTGATCTCGTTTACCTGATCATTAGCCTCATAAACTGATTGAAAATGCAGTGCAAAAAAGTCTGCAATTTGTTTGCCATCAGATGATATCTGGTTATTGAACTTAATTGTATTGGGGATGCAATTGGTTTTTCTTTTATCCTGAACATATTTCCAAAAGAACTTCGGATTATCTAAGACATTTTGCTCTACATCCAACATGAAACTGTTGTAACAAGTGTCTGTCTGTTCTTTGCATAATCGTCTCAAGTTAGAAAATTCTTCATAATCGCTTACTAATCCACTACATTTATATCGTTTATGGGCTTCTTTTTTTTTCATATTATTTTTCAAATCATCATTGAAATATATAGGAAATTGAAAATTGCTCTTAAGTAATTTAAAAGGAACAAATAAAGCAATACAGTTATTAAGAATATTATAAAAATTATCAACGCTTACATTTACATTATCACAGAGTAGAACATTATCCCAATCTTGAGACATTAAAAAATTGTTAATACTATCATAGTTACATCTTTTAAAATCAAATACATATTCCTCATATGGAAGAGGCTTTAGAATATCTTTTATTTTAATTTCTATCAATAAGGCTGGGTGATGAGCATCACAGGGCACTAAAATATCACAAGCAGTTGAGATATCACAGTTGTCTTTATTTGTTAAAATTAGGTCCAAAAATACATTATTGGCATTTGAGATCGAATTAACCTGACCAAAATCTAAAAACATTAAAGTATCTACTAGTAGTTCAGATATATCATTAGAAGTAAAAAAAGGTGTCATACAGGTGTCAGACTGTTGCCACTTAATATTCGGTAAATTATAGTCACCTGTGATACAAAATACTGAGTCATAATAAACTCGGGATAATTCTTCAATGTTTGTAAAATGACTCTGATAGTCGTTAAAATTGGGTGGAAAATAAACACTACATAAAATAACTTTAGTAACACCAATAGTAACTTGCACCCAGATCTCATCAATATTGTTATTTTTGGATTTGGTGTCAATAGCCTGAATAACAAAGTTTTTGGAGACCGCTATCAAGACCCCACCACCTCTTGATTTACTAGTTACTTCAGCGTTTCTATCACATCTAAATACAAAATATTGTGGATTAAATATTTCAGGATCCAAGAAATCAGAATTTAGAAATAAGTTTCTGTCAATAGGATAAAGTCATAATTGTTCAAACTTACATTTTTAGAAAAATCGATTAGTTTGGTTCTCAAACCTCTCACATTTTGATAATACATTGTCAACTTATCTGGATCGATTGAACTATTGTTTCCTCGGTTTATGCAGGTCGAGCTTCCTATGCAAGTCCGTTTTTTTGGATTTGTTTCTCCCTAAAAATTCTAACCCCAACACCTTCCAACCAGTTTTCAGGTGATAGCATATCCTTAACGAACGGTTTGGGAACAGCTATCTTAAAGGAACTGTATGAGTCTGGATAGCGTGAAGTCAGTTTTTCTACCCTTATATTAACATTGGAGATGATCTTTATATAGTCTTCTAGATCACTGACAAGGATCCAATCTAGTGATATGTATTTTAGTGGTAGAAACTGATGATGACTTTCTAGGCACCGGTGGTTATTTGCGGTGTTGTTGGTTCCTAGAATAATGCCTCTATGCTGGATGTTATTGCCCCTTACATCTTTTGTAGGTGGTTCCCTGGTTGTAAGTGGTGAACCTGTAGCTACTTGAACTGGACCCGCTAAGTTTATATATTGATCCAGTTTTTTTTTGGTTTGAACTTCTAAAAGTGAAAGAGATACATCCTTATTTTTGATGGGCTCACCTGCAGCTGGTTCTTGCGAGCCATGATGCAGTTGATCAGCTTTTGTGTCCGATTTAGGCTTGTTAACACGGATCAATGTTTTCTGCTGATCTTCCATAAGGCAAATAATCTTGGATTTGCCTTTCACTAACTGGTCCTTATCAGAGTAAGTTGCCCTCAAGAGAGCCACTTCATTAGTCAAGTGTTTGATAGCATCACTATTACGAAGACAGTCTCGAACTGCGGACTTACAGTTCAAACAACAGATGATTAAAACTCTTTTCTTCAGTGGAATGCATTTTGCCTCAGATGCGGACATCGGAAACCATTTCTTGCAAAAATCTCCCCTACAGATATCACATGTTACATTAAGCTGTGCATTAACATCGTCAGAATCGTCGGACAAAGTAATTTTACATTGCAAACATGAGGCCATCTTAAGGTATTTTCGAGTTTGATTGGCTAATTTAATTTATTTAAAATTTCTTTAAAAAAATTTCCAACAGGAAGCAAATTATTTAATAAATTGCAACTATCCTCTTCTGGTCTGAACAAAACAATAAATTTCCAATTGAAAAGTTTATTGCCTCGATTCTTAACTCAAAAAAGTTGCTATTCTGGACGTTTGACAACACTGCACCGTGATCTTGCAATTTTCGTAAAAACAATTCCAAAATCTTAGCGGAAAAAACAATATTTGGCGGTTGCCCCTATTCCCACATATCAATCACCACCAACAAGATACATTGGGCTGGTTTTCAATAATTTTCGAGACCAAGAAACATTAAAATTGAGGAAAATATTCACAAAAACTTAAACAAACAACACGCAATGTTGCCAGGTTGCAATACTTCGTATATTTTTAATTCTGGACTAATCTGGATAGGACAAAATAGCTTGAATTTGAAACTAACCAACTGAGTACTTCGTATACACACGAAACTAACTTTAGTAAGAAGTGACAAGTGTTGTGTATTTCTGACTAAATATCCTCACTTTTTTTTTAGGCTGCAGATGGTCTGCCCACAGTTGATCTCACGGACGACGCACCTTCCGATTCGGCAAATAGACATCGACCAGGACTACCTTATCGTTGCGACCTTTGTCCCGCAACTTACCCCAACGCAATAGGTCTAAATAAGCATAGGCAGACGTACCACAAAACGACCAGTGGCATGTCGGAGCTTGGAATACCATTGATTAATCTCAAACAGGTAAGTCTTATCCTTCAAGCTTGGCTTTCTATGTCATATATGGATAGAAAATAAAAATAGATTTTTGGTTGAATATTAGATTTAAAAAAAATTAACATAATCATTTTTCTTTTACAGCCCGGTATAATGCAAAAACTGAGCCAGTTTGGCGTCAACCACTACATTCCGATGCCGAGTGCGGGCCCAGGAGGCACCTACGCTATTCCCATCATCAATTCCAAAACTCCAGGCGCCATGGTTTCCGCTTTAGACTCTACACAAATGCTCACGTTGGGGCCTGTGCGGAACATACTGAGAGCTGGTGTGAATAGTAACACCAATACTCCTGGTAAAAAGTGATTTAGTTAACAGTGATTTTTTTATTTTTGAACAAACCACAAATCTGATATATTAAGAGTTAAATTTTTCGTTTTATTTGCAAGATTTATACATAATATGATGATTCAGCGTAGTTTAGTTTGCATGGTTTTTGTAAATACTTTTCGGTTACCTAGATTAAGCCACTGTTTTCATAACGTAAGATTATTCAATAATAATTATTATTGTAGATTTCATTCTGTGAATGATTTATTTTTTGCTGTAAATATTCACATTGACAATTATGTACATAACGTATTTCTATACTAGAAATAATTATTAGATGTCAACAATGTTTAAACAACTAAGTCACAGAGCGCGAATGCTGAAAATTAAATTTACCTTTCCTCATTATTTATCAAAAAACAACAAAATATAATTTGCATGTGAACTCTGGTGTTGTACACGAGAAAAATGTAGGCAATTTCTTTTTTTGATTATTCTTTTTTGACAACTTTGAATCACATCTATTTGATTTTTTTTAATGTTAAATTTATCTTAGGAGAGAAATTAAACTTTCCACCAAGCTTTATATAGTCATATTTTAGTATTGACAACATTATAATACATATATACCTAAGTTTCTTAATAATGAAAGACAAACCAGCATTAAAAATTTTAAAAATTTGGAAAATGATCATTTTGATAGTTGTTTACTTTGTTTGGAATCTATTATAGGTTTTTTAGTATGAATACACTTCTACTCCTAAGGGCTGATAGAGTTTTTCGTTCATTAAGGTGGCCAGCACGTCTTGGTTCAACATTTCTTCTTTTTTACAGTGTATATGGTCCAACAGAACTAACATCATAATAGACCTATCTATTTTACTAGACAAAGAGGTGATAATACGAAAACTTTATTAGATAGAAAAAGACGCAGAATTGCGCAAGACGAGGCAAAACGTACCAAACCATGTAAGACTTACGTATAGCAATCCCTTCTTATTATTTGCACGGGATAAAAAGGGAAGGAGGAAAACTGCGTGACATGCAACGTATTTGTCAATCAAAAACACAAACAATTGAAAATCAATCACTTGTCAAGCTACGTCAAGTTATTTATCAATCATAATTCTGATCCTTGTCAGACCACGGGCAATTGACAAGGACAAGTAGATGCCCAGCGTGCAAAACGAACACCTCTCACCTGTATTAGTTAGCCAATAAAAATGCATTGCCTCGTGTTGCGCGCGCATACCAGGTAAAAATAGATAGGTCTATTAGGCAATTGAATCCATCTGTCAGAAAGGAAAATTCAATATGGCGTGGCGGCCAAGCAAGCTTGTTTTGAATATGTTTTTATGTTTATTTTAAATTATTTTGCTTAGAGTTTTGCTTGTAACTTTGATTTTGATTATTGATTACGATATTTGTTGACTAGGCACCTAAACTATTAAATCGGGCAGAAACTAGATATTTTTTTAAGCTTTTTGGCTCATGTGTGGCCGCCACGCCATCTTGAGTGTCACCTGGTTTGAATTGCCTAATTCAAGAGGGAGATTTTTATTTTCATTGGTCAAATAAATGATGATGCTGTTATTTGACTTTTAAATTTGTGTTGGGTATTATTCAAGAAAATAAAGTGGATTTATTTCAAAAAAATCCTGTCAATCTACAGAGTTTTCCTATATATTTTCGCATCACCCCTACAAGGGTTATTCAAAAAATTATCAAGGTGATAAAGTATATTGTAGCAGATTTTCATATGGGCAGAGTGATTTAAAATACCGAGAGTGAGTTTATAATTATTTTTAAAACTAGTACGGAACGAGCTTCATTACAGTAACAAGTGGGAAATATTACCATGACCAGGTCGTAGATCGAGTCTTGGTAATATAATTTCCTTACATAAGAATGTCCTTTGAACAATTATTTGCAATTTCCGGAAAAAATAGTATGTAACTATACCTTGTAGGAAAAGCCACATTCCCATCTCTAGATATACTATTGATTGATAAAGTAAAGTAAAATTATATTATTTATATAACAAGTACATAAAGTAAGGCTTTATTGTACGAATAATTTTATGGCCGAGCGAGCTTGCGAGCGAGGCTATTAAATAATGAGTCAATAAAGCCTGTTTATGTAAGCGTTATATACACTGCCGAGCATAAAATTAGGGTCACCACATAATTTGCAATTATTTTTGAAATTTTCAGTTTTTGCGAATTTTTTTTTTGGATGTACAGTTTACTAACTTTATGTGATAACTTTATCGTAGTTGCTTGAATTAAAAAACGTTCTTGTTGTTTTGTCCCAAGTTTATTAAAGATAATACAAATGAAAACTTTAATTTGATTTTTTCTCTAGTCGAATCAAAAGAAATTTTAGGAACTTCAGTAGCGAGTATTTCCTCCTCTGGCATTGATAACAGCTTGCAAACGACGAGGCATGCTTTGGATCAGATTTTGGATGACCTCCTGGGGAAGATTTTCCCATTCCTGCATCAGTATGTTGCAAAGCTCTCTAGAGTTTCTAGGGGCCGGTACATGTCGCCGTAAACGTCTTCCCATCTCATCCCAAACATGCTCGATGGGATTCAAATCTGGGCTTCGAGCAGGCCAAACAAATCTCACGATTTGAAATTCGTCAAGATAAGCATTAACAAACTGAGCAGTGTGGGGCCGTGCATTATCATGCATAAAGGTTGCGCCTTCTCCAAGAAAACCCATGAACGGTACAACATGGTCTTCTAGAACCTGTGTGAGGTACCTATGTGCATTTAAAGTCCCATTCTGGATAAAGGCTAACTCCGTGCGAGCATGGAACGAAATCCCTCCCCATGCCATAACTGAGCCTCCGCCAAATGGAAGCCGCTCTGCGATACATGCTCCAGCATATCTCTCGCCTTGTCGACGCCACACTCTAACACGTCTGTCTGAGCCCGTAAGGCAAAAACGGGATTCATCGGAGAACAGTACCTGACTCCAATCCTCTATTGTCCAAGCCAAGTGTTCTCGTGCAAAATTTAATCTTGCGATTCTGTGTTCACGGGAAAGCGGCGGTCCAGTAGCCCTGGTTCGAGAAGATAATCCAGCAGCATGAAGTCGCCTCCTAACTGTCCACTCACTTATGTTTACATTTCTGACTTCTTGCAGATGATTTCGAAGGGAAACTGCCGTATCTGTTCGGTTTCTCAATGCACTAGAAACGATAAAGCGGTCGTCTCTAGCTGTTGTACTCCTTCCTCTTCCCGAACCAGGTCTTCGGGTAAGAAGACCAGTCTCTTGGTACCGTTGGCATATTCGTTGCACACTGGAAAGGCTTACATCAAAGTTTCTTGCAGTTTCGCGCTGACCGCGATCATCTTCTATAGCCGCCACAATTCGTGCCGCAATTACTGGATTTATGGCCATTTTGCTTGAAAATAGCATCAATAGTAACCAAGCAATTTGCAATTGAGAGATACCATGCATGGAATACACAAATATGCTGATAATGGTTTTGAGGAATTTCGGCGAGGCACCTTTTTTTTATCAAACTTTAAATAAAACAACAACAACTTTTTTTTATTCAAACAACTACGATAAAATCATCACATAGAGTAGTAAACTATGCTACACCCACAAAAAAATCTCAAAAACCTAAAATTTCAAAAATAATTGTGAATTATGGGGTGACCCTAATTTTATGCTCGGCAGTGTACATGGTTTTATGTACGATTACGACTGGTTTTTGTTGAAAATTGAAAAAATTTCATGATAAAAGAAAAATTCGCGTAGGTATACCTGTTTCAGCTTGGCAGGTTTTCAGGACCTATTTCACCTTGTCAGGTAGTCCAGGTAGGCAATAAAGTAGCACTTTATTTTACTAGTACAATAAAGTGCTACTTTATTGATGCAAAACTGTTCTATAAATAGCACTTTATTGATCAATCGGACATAAATAACTAATCTGTAACTTTCTGAATAACCTCTATGAGGTAATGCAAAACCATATGGAAAAACCTCATCCTCCAGCTCAGCCTCTAGTTAACTTGATTGTTTGCAATTAGCCTTTACTACAGTGGCTAAATAAACCTTTACATACAGTGGCGACAATAGAGGTTTCGCCGCCATCTTGTTCCCAACCTCTTGTTACTTTTAAATATTAATATATAGGATTTAAATGGACATCTATCATAAAAAATTGAAATCGACGTATTTGATGACCATTATTAGGTCCATCAAATACGTTGTTTTCCATGATTTATGATGAATGTTCACCTAAATCCCATATATTCATATTTAAAAGTAACAAGGGGTTGGGAACAAGATGGCGGTGTTTTCAATATAAATATATGGGATTTTAGAACCAATCAAAAATGAGACAGCAATTGTCGCCACTGTGGGTTATAGAGTCACTGTAGCCTTTACCTGATTATGCTGCCATCTGGTGAACATTATTACGTAATAATTTTTATATTTTAAATAATTTCTAATTATTTTTTAGTGCAGAGCCAGCACAGTTTGTTCCTTGAAATGTTTCACAATATTGTCAATAATGGGAGACTGAATTTTTAGTTTAGTTTTTTTTTTAAGAATTTCGTATTTAGTTTTGTGCAATTTATCCTATATTGCTAAAATCTGTTTTTTTTTTAAAGATAAAAGTCACATTATGTTGACAATACAATGTAAAATTGTCAATACTACTTTCAAATTTTTTGTGCAGAAAAGGCTTGTATTGCCAACATAGTTACTAAATTTTTGACTTGGGGAATTATCTTTAAAAAAAAAACGAACTTTATTGCTTTTTCAAAAAGCGTTTTACCAATATTATTTATCGTTATCTTTTTTTTTTGATACTTTTTCTTTTTATAGGTTTATTATTATTACTAATACTAAAATAACTAGAGCCACATTACTAACATTACTATTATTTTTTTATTACCTATAGTTTCTACTGTGCCTAAATGGGCGCAGTAGATATTTTTTTTGTGATAATAAAATACAATTTTGAGTATGAAATATAAATGAAATGTGTTTTATTTATTTTTTGGAAACTTCTTTAGGCGCGTTCTGTTCAAATTTTTTTTCTAGGTAGTGAATAAGATTGAGCCGTCACGCCCAAATTGTTAACGCTTAATCGGTCGGTTACATAAGTCAACTTGAGTCGAGTTCAACCAAGCGAGAGAGCGAGATTGGGATTCAAGACTGCCCCTATAGTCTAGCGGCCTGGCCTGTCTAGGAAGCACAAAAAAAAACCGAGGTATAACCAAATGGGACCTTCACCAATTGAAAAAGCATATTTTTTTACGTAGAAAATGGAATTTGACGACACTCTCCATTGGTCGAGACCAAAGATATGGGCAAAAAACTGAAAAAAAAAGTATATATTTTTTTTTTAACTTCAAACGCTCATAACTTTTTTTTTAGACAAGGTAGAACAAAGTGTTTTTTAATTTTCATTCCCCTTTCAGTTTCCTATCTTTTGGTATGTATTTTATTGAAAAATATTTGTAACCCATATTTGAAAAACTGTAATATTTTGAAAAAAGTCAACTAATTGTCAAAAAAATTTTAAGCTCACCTTGCCATAACTTTCTTATGCAAGAAGCTATTCGCATTATTTTTTATTCAAAAACTGCGGAATTTAATGGACTTTATTTTATCTCAATGGACCTTTCTCATTTTACCGGTGCTGCGCGCGCATCTTGTGGGTGACAGATAATTAAATCGTCAATTTACTGAACACGGTCTGACCCTGACGTATTTAAGCTAACCTCAATAATCAATCAGTATCAATCAATATTGCTGAAAATTAATACAAAAACTGTTTATGATACAATGGTTCAAATGAGTTGAATGAATTCTTGTCAGAATTAGGCGAAAAAGAAGTGAAACCTTTCTTTTCACAAGTTCCCAGGCAATCAAATTGTAAGAAAACAATAGTAACGTGCTCTCGACCCGAATGAAGACGATTTAAGTTGGGACAGAGATTTGAGGGTTCGTAAAATAACGATTTTTATATCAAATACAATAATAATATACAATTAAAGGTTTGCTGCAAACATTTTTGCTGCGGTGGGTTTTCTTTCTAATTAATGTTAATACGTATTTTGTCATATTTACGTTTAAAAATAAACAAAAACAGAAACATAACCGAAATTGCACAATTTGACAAGTGGAACCAATCAAAGCAGTGAATCAAAGTCATTCCACACAGGTATCGCGCGTCATTATATGTGTCTTCTTCTTTATTGCAGAAATCTTAATAAACCATCCTTGTTGTTCATTGCATGAGAAAGGTCAATTACCATTTGGTCTATTTCTACAAATAAAACGGGTAGCGGCATTTAAGCGTCGGGGCGCGTGCCTATGCGACACACTAAAGGCGGGTTTTTTCCATTGCGAACGAGTCGAACGACGCGACACTTCGCTTGCTGCGCCATTTCTTTCGAACCAATGAGACGATTTCGCCACGTTTTGGTTGGTAGGTAAATTGGTTAACCGCTAGGTACGCTCTTCGTCACAAAAGTGACGTCGCATACCATTTTCAGCCGAAATCGGCTGGTTTGTCAAACGTCACGTGTATGCCATGATAGTGATGGTATGCCTGAGAAAATAAACATAAACAAACTATACTGAATACTTTTTATTGTTGGAAACTAAAATTGGGACTAGTGAAAATTAATTGTGTTTATTTGTTGTGTTTAATTTTAAATATAAACAAAAAAGTGAGGTTAAATTACTTCAAATTAGAGAGAGATAGCAAGCTACCAAAGCAAATAACCGTGCTCCAAGCTCGGTACCCAATTTGACATACCAAAATAGATACCAAAGTTATCGTGACGAAATTGTTTTTCGTGCCGAAATTGGTTGGTACATTTTTGACCAACCAAAGTGGGTTACCAAAACGTGGGAAATCGTCTATGGTATTATAAACTTTGGTCTGTGCTTTTGTAGTACTTAGAACTTGTATGTTTTTTTTATTCAAAATAATTTCAAATCCAGCTCGTTTTCTTCGGATACTAAATCGGGAACAGAAGGGCGATTAGAGCATTCCATTTTACATTTGCAATCTTCCATACAAAAAACGCCTTCTTTAATGCACAGTCATTTTTGATTCATGCAATTTTTTTTATTGCCAAATATAGATACTATGTCTATCTATATCTAATATCTTCTGGAACTACAGGTCGACTCATCATTTTTGGCGAGAGAAAACTATTACTTTTTTCCCATCCAAACTTGATTAAATCTAATTGTGAAACCATATTAATATGGCTGTTCACCCAAATATGAACCTGGTAATACGACCTACAACAAAACGTTTCAAAATTCGTTAAAATTACAGGATTCCAGAAAAAAAAAATTGTGGTGGAAAACGTCTATAAAAATCGTTCAAATATGTAGTTATTCACCTAAGTACATGCAAACAGAGGTGCAATCTAAAGCTGTCTTCTGTTGGTGGCAACTCTTGAGCAGGTTGCCACCCATCCCACAAGAAAAAAAAAAGTTAGGTATCATACCTATTTCTAAACCTAAAAGGTGGCAGCCATGGGGCGAAATAATATATTGCTTGTGTGTGTACTTCCTATTTACGCAAACTACGACAAAAATTTTACAAAATAATAACAAATAGTTTTGGATACTCACCCCTATAAAACTAGTACTTTATAGGCATAGGTAAAAATGCTTGATATATACAGGGTGTCCCAGGGAAAACAGTCCACCCTGATTTACTGGATTCGGGATGAGAATCTGGAAAAACGCTCAGACACGTCGATTTTTGATTTGGGGGGAACTATTTTTCAGTTTTTTTCATCCCCGTAGCTTCAACCCCCTAGCTAGGGGAAGAACAACCCCCCAAATTTGAATAGGGGATAGGGGCCGTGACATGTCTCTTGTTAAAGGTCTCATCAAGTTCTTTATGGCCCTAGAAGTCCGTCTCATTATTTTCATCCGTAACAAAATGACAGGACAGCTTGTCAAAATCTTGGAAATACATTAGTAAGTGGGAGTAAAAGCGATACTTACCTCCCTTAATAAAAATACTTGAAATTGAAGCTTTTTATTATTATTATTAATGAGGTGTACACGAGAATTGTAAATTGTAAGTATTTTTATTAAGGGAGGTAACTGGTAAGTACCGCTTTTACTCCTACTAAAACAATAGTCTATTTCCAAGATTTTGACAAGCTGTCATTTCGTTACGGATGAGAATGATAAGATGAAATTCTAGGACCATAAAGAACTCGATAAGACCTTTATAAAGGGGTAAGATACGACCCCTATTCCCTATTCAAATTTGGGGGGTTGTTCTCCCTCTAGCTAGGGGGTTGAAGCTTTCGGGATGAAAAAAACTGAAAAATAGTTCCCCCTCAAATCAAACATTGACGTGTCCGAGCGTTTTCCCAGATTCTCATCCCAAATCCAATAAATCGGGATGGATTGTTTTCCCTGGGACACCCTGTATAATATACTTTACAAAAGCCAGAAAATCTATAAATAAATAAATATTATCATTGCAAACTTCATAAATTACGGAATCTGTGACATTCACTTCTACTAAACTCCCGCCTTCTGAATTACATGCACGGCGCGGTCCGCGGCGGGTGGTTGCGGGAATGGAGAGGAAGTCGCCCAATCCAGCCGCTTTCGCGCGTTTTTTTGTGTTTAAATGGTTCTAGCGGGTTTGTTTTTAAAAATAGACCCTATAATAATTGAGACAAAATATTGCCTATAAAATTTCTCAGTTTTTCGTGAAAAAATAATTTTCATATTGCTTTATACAAGCGAGATACCGCAGATTTAAATAAAGAGAACTGTTGTAAAATTATGCATCCGTCAAGATAATTGTTGCTAGTATAAACAATTATCATTTTGAACAAATGAAAAAACTGCTATTCGACAGGGAAATATAAAGGTTCACAAGTGTGAAATAGTATATTACAATCCGAGACGGAAAATACTTCATTGCTGGTCGAGAGGTTATTATAGTTTATCGAGACGCGAAGCGTCGAGATAAACTCAACCTCGAGACAGAAATGAAGTTTTCCGTCGAGGTTTGTATACTTTTTTATTTTCAACCCTTAATTTTCTGATGCAAAAACTAAAGATTCTGTTATACGAAATTTTCATATAGTGTAAAACTGGCCTTAGAAAAAAATATTTCACTTTTTTTGTCAATGTCATCAATTTTGACGATCTCAAAGGCCCTGTAAAGGCCAAAACAAAAGACGAAACCACAGGAAACCGCAAAATCAACAACCATAGATAAGATCAACAACGCCTTAACGACGGTAGTTTTCGCTCAGTATTTTTGCGGAAATAATAGATTTTCACTAGATTTCTCCCCGTTCTCCCCAAAGAAATGATTTCGGAAAGTGAAGATGAAGCGATGGATTGTACCCCACCTGAATTAAAAGAAGCAGCAGACAGGATTGGAGAGAGTTTGCTTCCAGCAAAAAGCAAATTTCGGTACGAAAAGGCTTTTCAAATATTCGAAGCATGGTGTAGCCAGAAAGGAACGAGAAATACTGCCTCGGAGACCGTTTTGTTGGCGTATTTTGGCGAATTATCTAAGGAAAAGAAGCCTTCGACTTTATGGTCGACTTACAGTATGTTGAAAACCATGATTAAATTGAAAGAGAAAGTTGATATCTCCAATTACGCAAAACTTATAGCTTTTTTGAAGCGGCAAAATCTGGGCTTTCAGCCGAAAAAGTCGAGCGTTTTTTCCAGAGAAAACATTAACGAGTTCCTCACGAAGGCAGCTGAAGAATTCATTAGCATCAAGGTAGGTTTTCAAAAAATATACAAAGAAGATAAAAATGCGAAAATCAAAATGATTTTCTGTATGCTATAGCTAGGTTACCCATTTTATTTTTATCTGGTTTCAGGTAGCGCTAATTGTTGGTGTGTCGGTTGCATGTAGGAGCGATGAACTAGTCAAGA